AAAAAAGAGAGAGACGCGAGCGCGCGAGCGAAGGGCGCGACGCCGACGATACGTCGCGAGCAGAGAGGAGAGAGAAGACGGAGCGAGAGCGAGAGCGAGAGATAAGATGACGATAGAGAGAGGATAAGAAGAGAGATATAGAGGAGAGAGACGAGAGGCGCGAGCAATCTCTCTAGCTCCTCTATATCTCGATCAGAATGCATTCTCTCATATCTCTCTATATCGCTACTCTATCTCTCTCTCTCTCTCTCTCTCTATCTCTCTCTCTCTCTCTCTCTCTCTCTCTCTCTCTCTCTCTCATCTTCCCCCTCACTCTCTCTCTGTGTTCAGGCAGGTGGATTGAAGGTTGTTATAGGGTAGTGTTGGAGTCAGTCGTCCCTTCAGTCTGCGGCCCCTGCAGCTCTACCCCAGTAGAACAGTCATCTCTCAGTGTACCAATAGACAGTGAAGGACCCTGTGATCTGACAGTAACATTGCCCTGCTGTAGACCTTCTCAGATGGACTGTTTCTCCCCCAGATTTGTGTCACCCATATCCTGTGACCTCTGCATTAGTGTGAAAACATGTCAGCAGTTCCCCTGCAGTGGAGCGGAGGAGAGGAGAGGAGGAGCACTGGGTCATGTAGTCTATCCCCAGGGAACTGCCATAGAGGGAGCGGTTGTCAGAGTTAGCCAGGGACAGAGTGTATATGTGGGGGGATGGGTGTCAGTGTGCCTGTGTGTGTGTATTCGTGCAAGGTTGTACAGGATGCAGAGATAAGGATGTGATTTATTGTTGTAGATGCCTTACTGTTGCCGTGGTGAGAAGTCAGGAGGTTATCAGAGAACTGTTCCAGTTGATCAACTAACCAGGCGCATTAGATCAACTCCACTGGCCTCACAAACCCATTGCAACAGTAACACAGAGGTCTCTCTGTCTGTGTAGAGAGAAATGATTGAGATATAATATGAATCAACTGCCACATCTACTGGACAAGGGAGATTTTCAGAGTGATAAGGAATGCAACCTGGCTTTCCTATAGAGATTTTTAAACTGAAATGTAAACAATGATAAAGTAGTACTATTTTGATATTGGTCTCTTGTTACGTGTCCACATGATTATATACAGTACCTATATCATAGTTTTAAGAATATGTAGGAATATGATGACAAATGCAGTGACAAGGATTGTGCTGTTTCTTTTTGTGTTGGGTAACTGTCCTTCTGTGGAGCTGAGTCACGGCTCAAAGCGACGGCCATCTTTGATACACAGGGTGTAATTCTGGAATTCTGGGTAGGGTAGGCTGGGTACTCTACACTCAGAACCTCTGGTCCAAAACCAAAAGACAACACACACACAGACACAGACTACACACATACTAACACACATAAATGTCCAGTCAGGTTAGGTAGTTTAAACTACTGTGTACAGTGAAGTGGAGCTAGAGATCATAAAAGATCATAAGGGATTTACCGTTTACATGTTCAAAGTCGATCCACATAACCGTAGGAGCTAGGAGCAGGCTAAAGTTGACCTATTCATTTTTGTAGGCATGTTTTTCTATTTCTGCATACATATCCCAGTACTCTGACTCCTCTGACTGTGTGACTCTGATCTGAACTGTGTCTAAAACTCTGCATGTGTGGATGACTAATGGTATGGGATACTGATGAACCATCTCTGTAGTGAGCAGCTCCATGGGACACACACTCCCCAGGAGACTGACTGGTACACTGTAGGCTAGAGATGCTGGTCTAAATGGCCAGCCCCCTATCAAGGTCTATTGGTGAGTGTTCTGCAGCAATACCAGAGGCATGGCTGTAAATGTACAAGAGCAGGGTCTGGGAAATGTGCATGATGTGTTCTGGGCTCTATACTGTAGGAGGGGCTGTGATGCTGTTAGTAGCAGGTCAGTATGGTCATTGGTCAGACCCAGCCAGACAGTATTAGACATTAGGAATGACCTGACAGGTAGACAGTCTTATGGCAGAGCAGTGTTGGGAAGAGATGAGTGATGACTGGTATAACTGTTATTAATGATGGTGTGTGTATGGATGGAAGGGTTCAGTTTGGGAGGTGGGATACGTTCATCATCAGTAGGAACTTTGAGGACTGAGTACTGATGCCATTGGGGTGATGATAATGTGTAGAACTCCATTTAGAGTACTTCTCTTAGATTTTACTATGATGAGTTTTTCTCCATTAATTTATTCTGTACTGCTGAATCCTTTCTAAAGAGAGGTTGATGTAAAACCTTGATTCTGTTTCCTTTTTTTTTTAGGACTGATGTGTGATTATTTTCTCACGTCATTGCTTTGACAGCTGTCTGTCTGTCTGGGACAAAGGGGATGGTGGTTTTCTGTGAGCGTTTGCGTCATCGCAGGTCAGCGCGACCCTGTATCAGCACATATTAATAAAAAACTATTCAAAATCGATCTACCTTGTGTTAATAATGGACTAGAGTTTCTCTACAATCTTTCTATGTGCATTCTAAGTTTAAATGGAAAAGGTGTCTTTAAGTTCTAATGCTTTGAGATGATTTATTCATGGTTTGGCCCGCAGGGTGATGGGATCTGAGTATGGTGGTGTATTAAACCTCTGCCTCGTACCAACAGGAGTACAAGACTCAACCCTCCCTGCCTCTGCCTTGCTCTGAGTAAGCTCTCTTGTCAACCACATGCAGATGTAACTGTGGGTGGGTTGATTATTTTTCTTGTCTTCTATCCAAGACCTTCAAACAAACAAAACAATCAAAGAAAAGCAAAAGAAACAAGAAAAAAGGAGAGAGAAAGGAGAAGTTGTTTCTATACGAGTCATACTCTCACTCCCACTCAGGGTTGGTTGGTTAGCGAGTGGTCCTGTACGCCTACCATGATTGGAAGACAACCAACAAGGTTATTCTATGTTGAAGAGGGCGAGGAGGGTTAGTTCATGTAGAGAAATCAACGGTTGTTCATAACAAATGGTGCTGAGCACCAGTGGCAGACATTGAGAACAGAGGATGGTGGTTTCAGTCAGGGCTGGGCAGATTACTTAAAAAAATGTAAAGAGTTGCTTAGTTATACAGTAGGCTTAGTAACCCATATGATAATGCCAACTGCAGATCACATGGATAGAAGTATGGTACAGTACTGTACAACCACCATTTTGGATGTTTCATAGCAGAAAGCCAGCCATTCACAGGAAGTGAAACTACATGAGTGAGTTTGCCATGGTGACAACAAACTACAAGCATTAATGTTTCTGTAGTGTTCACTTTCCCTTAACTTATAATTTGTGATGTGAGGGCCCTACATCAAAAAGTGAAGGGGTTTGTAGTACAGTAGCCAGCCTCCCTTGAAAGCTCCTTGTTACTGATAGTGTGTCATCAGTGTTTGATGAGTGTCTCCTGGAGGGGTTCGTTTCCTTGATGGCTCATAATCCTGGCCATTGTAGAATCTGATCGCTATCTAATTAGCTCTTAGCTAATTATTATGTGCATCAGAGCGTCTTAATTCATAATTATATGGCTTCCTACTACCATCATCATCAATCCTGTCCCTCTGCTCATTTGCTCTGTCCGCTAGGTGTGTGTGTGTTTCATACAAAATATAGTGTGTGTGTGTGTTTCATATAATATAGTACATGTATGATACACACACACTCCTCCCTCTTCCGGCCCATACTGTGCACCCTCAGTGGTAGTCCCTGTGGGGGAGCTCTCCAACCTTGACCACCCAGTCACCCCACACTTCAGCACTGTTACAATAGCAGACACACGCAAACACACGCCTAGGGCCTACTAGGCAGACAGATAGAGGGGGAATCTGCATCATTCACACGGCCTCTGTGTCACTCCAGATACACTCCTCCACTCCCCAGCACTCACACAGCCACAGAGGTGAGGCCATCTCAGCAGAAAGGTAAAAATAGCCCATGCCAATGTTAGTGGCCATTTTGGGCACTCTGAGATGGCATGAGTAGTACACATCACACACAGAACCTAACATCACTGTAATAATAGAGAGTCAGCTATTAAACTCAGACTGAACCAGCACTGGTGATGTCACTGGGTTCTTCCTGGTTCTTTACTGCCCTCAAGTGTTTGGATTTAGCTGTGTTCCTCTATTATACAGCATGTGTCAAGGTAGTGATAGTAGGCTATGATTCTCCTTTATTTTTTCCCTCTCTCTCTCCGTCTATTCATCACAGTGTAGTCTCTCCTTCTCTTTGTTAGTGTTTGCTACAGAGTAGTGTCCTCTCTTTCACACCTCTCTGCATTCCCTTTCTCATTGAAGCCAATACTTCATCAAGTAGAATATTAGAGATCAGCAGATTGTCTTCCGCTCCTAAAGGGTGTCTCTCTGCTCCATTTATATTTGAAGAAAATACAGCATGCGGTATGAGAAGGAATATATATTTTATAATTGCATATATTTTGGATACAAATAATGGAAAATGTTTTAGTCACTAACAGAATATCCCTCTATACGGGAGGGTAAAATAATGAATGGTCATTGAAGCATTAGTAATACTAATTCAATCAAAAAGCAATAAAATAAAATAAAAGCAAACAAATATATCACACAAAAAAAAGGGATTAACAATTGTTACATAAAAACCTGACTTACACTTCAGAATAACTTTGTCTCTAAGAAGTGCTAGTTTACTGAAACAACTAAACTAACTAAAAGCAATGGATTTGAACCACAGTTTAGCATGGGCACTCTGAATAATAGTACAGCTGGGGGCAACCCCACAGCTAGCAGCTTACCAGTGCAGTATTATACTTACATTTTAGTATACAGTTATGTCCTGTGAATGCATTAATGCATCATTCATGTTGTTAAGAATGCATTCATAAGAATATACAACACTATACAAGAAGCAGCTTCAAGTAAGTGTTACGATATTATATAATGTCATATTATCTTATACTGTTTTATATTACTATGTATATTATGTTATATTTTATTATATTTAGACAGTTTCATGTTATATGTTCTAATATATATATATATATTATACATTTTCAACTGGCTTCACGCCATTGTTGACCAGACCTGGTCCTGCTTGTTCACCAGAGCAGTTTTCTTCATCTGCTGACCCACAGGGCTGTTCTCCAACCCTAGACACAGAACACAGTAAGACAGGCAGGATCAGGAAACATGGCAAAAACATGGTTATTATTAAATACAGTGGAGCAAAAGCTTAGAACAGTGTTACTTTAGCAATAGTTATAATATCACCTGTCAGACAGCAGAGGTCCTCCTCCATTCATCTGAGGAGGTCCTGGACTCAGTCCATTAGGAGTCAGTTCCTTAGTCTCGTCGTTAACCCTGTTGGAGAAATAAGACATCATCAAGATTCACATTCATGATCCACCAAAACACTGTTCCCTATAGAGACAGAGACTAACATGAACCGTGGGATGATAGGGTTGTTGAGGTTATTATCTAATTAGTAGATGTATCAATACATACTGGATCAGGCAACATGGTCTCACATACTCAACCATTCCATGTAACTCTAAATGTGTAGTATGTGCTGCTATACATGGAACATTGTTTGAAAAATAAACACTCACCTTCTATATGGCACGTGTCCATTGCTCTGAGGTTGACCCAGAGGTTGTGCGTCATCAGTCTGGCCAATACCAGGGTGATCATCAGGGTTAACACTTTTGATCCACCACAAGAAAAAGGTTATTAACATGACCCATGGTGAGATTACAGATGTAGGATCTTAATTTGATCACTCTTTTGTTGCTAAGAATTTTCCTGCACAGCAGGAAATGCAAACTTGTAGTGTATTCAAGGTATAAAAAGGCTTCTAAAGTTGGTAATTTCCACTTTAAAATGCAGACTATCAAGGTATTCATCAATGAAGATCTATCAAGGCATTCATCATGTGGTAAAGTTTACCTGGCCTTATGGTTTCCATTCACCAGAGGAAATCCAGCAAGTCTCTTCTGAGAGAATGCAGTGTCTGTTCCCTCACTGCCCATTGGCTGCACGATCCCCTCGCCTTGACTGATAAAACATTTATTTACATGCACTGGTCTTTCTATTAAATCTGTGGGAGCAATGACTCATGGGATCAGCTCTGACTGAGTATAGTGAGATCCAATCGGTAAATGAAGTAATGAGGATCTCTCTCAGAGAAATGTTTACCTGTTCACAAGATGCCCATTCAGCAGAGAGGACTCAACATGTGTCTCCTGACCGTGTGTTGGGTCCCTCTCCTCTTCCACCCCATCCCCATGGTCCCTGATGGTTCAGAGTGGCAAATGCAATTAGAGATTGAGGAAGACATGAAGTATAGTTGGAGCATAAATATTATGTTCAATAGATAGGCTGTCTAACCTGCCAACGACAAGCACAGATCGGAGAGACTCAGCATCCTCAGCAGCTGGATCATCAGGATCTCCGTTGTCCCTGAGAGAAGTCCAAAAAATTAAGTGTTACTTCTTGCTGCTCTAAGCTGATGTCTGGCCTGATAACTGACATTTAGTAATGTATCGTGAAACACTTCAGCATATTAAACCACGTAACTCCTAAAAATGTCCTCAGGTTGACTGAGTCTGACTCACCTCTGGTTTTCCCTGTTGGTGTTAAGGTAGTCCCGATCCAGCCGAACTAGCTGTGCAAGAGCAAGCCTGGTGTGGTGTGTGATGAACAAATGAAAAACAAAGTTCAGTCCTTGGACCCTAATACAAAAAAATAAGACATACATTTATCCTCTCTGAATTCATCTTGGACAGCTAAGCTGACTGGCTGTACACTCTGAGCACTATTGTTGCTACAGGTGATAGAAGGTACTCACGGCTGTTTGTCTCTCCAAGGAATGTAGCCACATCTGTACACTAAGAAACCAGCAATGCCCAGCAGCAGAGCCAAGCTAACACCAGCTGAAAAACAAAATGCTGTCTACGTCAGTTGTTGAGATCGTGTTAAACTGTGCTATAGAAGTATAAAGGAAACAAAACTTGACGCAGACCAATTTGTTTTATTTTATTTACAATTATAAAGAAAAACAGAAAAAAAAAAAAAAAGGATCACATACACAAAATACATTGCATACCAAACTAAATCAAATAGCAGCAGACAATTTGTATCAGTCGATAAAGTTTTAAAATACAGTTAGTATTACAACTTAGCAATTGATAGCAGCAGATATACTGTAATGTCATTATACTGTTAATGTTGTTAATGCAGACACATTTTCTGAGCTTTTCAAAACAACTAGTACAATAAATGTAGATAAAATATGAAATAGTAGTACTCTTTTAAGAGCTTTTTCAATAAAGGACAATCGGGGGGACCATACTTTCAAGAATGGGAATCCGCAGTTCTAAAGGCCATTGTTAATTCTTCTAATGGCAAGAAGTCTGCAACTTGTTTTAACCACAGTTGAAAAATGTGGGTGGGTTGTAATTTTTCCAACACACAAGAATACATATATTTGCAAAGTAAGAAATAGTTATCAGCAACCTTATCTTGTCTGAATCAAGTGCAGTATTCAGCATTTGATAAAGGAGGTAAAGGCTTGGGGATTGTACAAGTGGAGGCTCCTCAGAGGAGGAAGGGGAGAACCATCCATATAAATAAAAACAGTGAAACATTAAAAAAGTGATCCCTTTTAGACAAAACTATACAAAATATATTCACGTCACCAAATAATTAATTAAAACACACTGTTTTGCAATGAAGGTCTAAAGTCGCCTTAACTGCACTCTGTAGGGTAGCACCATGGTGTAGCCAGAGGACAGCTAGTTTCCATCCTCCTCTGGGAACACTGACTTCAATACAAAACCTAGGAGGCTAGTGGTTCTCATCCGCTTCCATAGACTTACACAGTAATTATGACAACTTCCGGAGGACGTCCTCCAACCTATCAGAGCTCTTGCAACATTAACTGACATGTTGTCCACACAATCAAAGGATCAGATAATTAATTTAGTACTGAAAGCAAAAGCTACAGCTAGCTAGCACTGCAGTGCATAACATGTGACTAGTTTCAGGAAACTAGGCATATGTTGTGTGTCACTACTTCACATGAGAGCCATTTCAACATAAACTTTGTTTTATGTATCAAAATGCGTTTTTTTGGCAGAAATGCCTTCTGGAACATGTGAACTTGCATGTGCCTTAATAACAAACTTGTATGCCATCTGTAAATACGAATAAAATTGTTAAATTACGAGCCTAGTGGGTTTAGCCACAGAAAAAGACAGCAACCTTCCCGCTTGCCATGATTGGCTGAGATAATGAGTGGGCTGGACATGCCGAGCAATGAGTTCGGATTGGTCTGCCATGTAGCACGCTACTGTCTATAATATGAGCTGGTCAGTATGTGTAGGTAATCCTTTCTAACAAGCCTTTTTTTTTTTTTTTTATATCTCGTAGTAGAACTGCATAAGTGTTGCTCTCCACTTTCTGGAGGACCTAGTTTAGAAATCAGTGTAATTAGAGTATGATAGCTAAGGAGATGGAGAAAATTCTGGCATTTGATTGCAAATATGCAGACGGAGTCGAGAAGAGAACACACAGAAGGCTGTTGTAAAAAATCTTCAAACTAAGAGCAACCATGGCATTCGTGACAGAGAGGGTGAAGCGTCCATCCATATACACGGGTAAGAGAGTCTAGCTAGCTACATTTTCAGATATTACACCTTTCTAATTTTGTCAGAAAGTCGTTTTCATTTCAAGTTAAAGTGTACTGTTAGCTAGCTAAACGGAAGCAAACGTAACTAAACTGGCATAAACATACCTGAATTTGTCCAATAGAAACTCTGGTTTGCTACTGTTGGACTAATGATTACACCCTAGATCAGCTAGATGCAGGCAAGAGTGTGCAAGGTGGTATTGAATGTGTCACTGTCTGCCACCTTAATTACAAAAATGTCTCTCGACCTGTGCACCTACATTGTACACTTTCATTCATAGGCTAGGTTGTAGCAACCTCATGAAGGGTAAAGGGGAAATTTGAGTAGGAGCCTAAAACTATCGATGTTACATTGACCTGGGTGAATGGATCGTCCTCCCTCATCATAAACGGCACCAACCACCACTGGATTGTACCAATGCCATATCTAAATGATCTGAGTGGCTGTATGAATAGAGTGCCAGAAAACCATTAGCCTTTTGCAATGCCAGAATAGATTTAAAAAAGTTCCTTTCTCTGTCTTACATTTCAGGTAATTTGGTGAAGTGTCTGGGAACATACGATTTAATTTAACAGGGGTAAGATAAAACTTGAACATTCATTTGTAGTTAGTCTCGTTAATATTGGGACTGGTAAATGGGAAGTGGATCTTATTACAGATCTCAAGCCATACCTCCTCATCAAATTCCGTGCCTAAGTTAATTTTTCCCACATGAGGATTCATAATGTTTGGATAATGTACAATACACCTTAGCAAGTATTACTTTGATAGATATAGATGTGGTTATTAATTATTCAACTTCTGATAACTGAGATCTCAGCTTTAATTCTTTGATAAATATAAAGACAACATTTCTGATTTCAAGACACTTAAAAAAAATCTGTACCAGGGATGTTATATTCAGTACGGATTTTCGATAAATGACCTCATTGTATTTAATCCACTATGGAACACATCTGCGAACTTCCTACGACCCAGCGAGCACCAATTATGAAGGCCGACCTTTAAGAACACATTGGGCAACAAGAAATAGGAGCAGGTAAAAAAAAGCGTGTTTGAAATACCCAAGTGCTTTCTACAGTCTACCCATGCCATTAATGTGTACTTACTGTTATCACAAATATGATGAAACTGATTCAGAGGTAAAGGATGGCTAGATTGATATTAAATCTGAACCCATAGGGAGTCCTGTCTGCCCAAAGTCTGGAAAGAATGTTCACCTTAATTATGTTTATCCTCCAATCATCGTTATGGGAGAGTGGAACAACGGATGAGGTCTTTAATTTTGCTAAAGAGGGGAGTGTAACGTGCGTTCTGGTTGCTCCTTTTTAAATGATAGGCAAGCAGCTTACAGTGAGGGAAAAAAGTATTTAATCCCCTGCTGATTTTGTACGTTTGCCCACTGACAAAGAAATGATCAGTCTATAATTTTAATGGTAGGTTTATTTGAACAGTGAGAGACAGAATAACAACAAAAAAATCCAGAAAAACACATGTCAAAAATGTTATAAATTGATTTGCATTTTAATGAGGGAAATAAGTATTTGACCCCCTCTCAATCAGAAGGATTTCTGGCTCCCAGGTGTCTTTTATACAGATAACGAGCTGAGATTAGGAGCACACTCTTAAAGGAAGTGCTCCTAATCTCAGCTTGTTACCTGTATAAAAGACACCTGTCCACAGAAGCAATCAATCAATCAGATTCCAAACTCTCCACCATGGCCAAGCCAAAGAGCTCTCCAAGGATGTCAGGGACAAGATTGTAGACCTACACAAGGCTGGAATGGGCTACAAGACCATCGCCAAGCAGCTTGGTGAGAAGGTGACAACAGTTGGTGCGATTATTCGCAAATGGAAGAAACACAAAATACCTGTCAATCTCCCTCGGCCTGGGGCTCCATGCAAGATCTCACCTCGTGGAGTTGCAATGATCATGAGAACGGTGAGGAATCAGCCCAGAACTACACGGGAGGACCTTGTCAATGATCTCAAGGCAGCTGGGACCATAGTCACCAAGAAAACAATTGGTAACACATTACGCCGTGAAGGACTGAAATCCTGCAGCGCCCGCAAGGTGCCCCTGCTCAAGAAAGCACATATACATGCCCGTCTGAAGTTTGCCAATGAACATCTGAATGATTCAGAGGAGAACTGGGTGAAAGTGTTGTGGTCAGATGAGACCAAAATGGAGCTCTTTGGCATCAACTCAACTCGCCGTGTTTGGAGGAGGAGGAATGCTGCCTATGACCCCAAGAACACCATCCCCACCATGTCAGGTGGAAACATTATGCTTTGGGGGTGTTTTTCTGCTAAGGGGACAGGAAAACTTCACCGCATCAAAGGGATGATGGACGGGGCCATGTACCGTCAAATCTTGGGTGAGAACCTCCTTCCCTCAGCCAGGGCATTGAAAATGGGTCGTGGATGGGTATTCCAGCATGACAATGACCCAAAACACACGGCCAAGGCAACAAAGGAGTGGCTCAAGAAGAAGCACATTAAGGTCCTGGAGTGGCCTAGCCAGTCTCCAGACCTTAATCCCATAGAAAATCTGTGGAGGGAGCTGAAGGTTCGAGTTGTCAAACGTCAGCCTCGAAACCTTAATGACTTGCAGAAGATCTGCAAGGAGGAGTGGGACAAAATCCCTCCTGAGATGTGTGCAAACCTGGTGGCCAACTACAAGAAACGTCTGACCTCTGTGATTGCCAACAAGGGTTTTGCCACCAAGTACTAAGTCATGTTTTGCAGAGGGGTCAAATACTTATTTCCCTCATTAAAATGCAAATCAATTTAGAACATTTTTGACATGCTTTTTTCTGGATTAAGTTGTTGTTTTTCTGTCTCTCACTGTTCAAATAAACCTACCATTAAAATTATAGACTGATCATGTCTTTGTCAGTGGGGTAAAGTACAAAATCAGCAGGGGATCAAATACTTTTTTCCCTCACTGTACTTGGTTATCATATTCATATGTTTTTTTGTCTAACATGGAACATGTTATAATTGATATGGTGACTTTGTTCAAGATGTAGTTTAGCTC